ACAACTCCGTCATTTTACTTGGCATTTAAAAATCATACATGAAGATTATTCATTTCCTATTTTCATTGCTATTAACATAACATTAATAATTAACATTATTAACATATCTTATCCAGATAAGAAATTTCTAACATTAATGGCACGCATAATTTACTGTCTGTACTCCTTTTTTTCCACCAGAGAAAGATTGTTAATACTTGCTGGTAAGCTACTTGTTGGCCTAAATCTGATGTCCTTCAAATCTGCAAAAATTTTACTTCAAAGGGATCAAAGTTAGACCATGATACTTTGAAAAACATTGTATGTTCTGCAGGTTTTGCATTGGAGTTTGTTCGTCAGCTTTTTTATTCAATCTGTTATTCATCACTGATCAGTTCCTACAATAAAAACTTACCCAGAATTTTGGTTGAGTTAATTTACTCAGTGGAATGAAATTAGTCTGTTTATAAACAACTCTAAGCTCTAGGGGAACAGACTTTCTCACAGTAGAAACCAATTCCACATCAAATAGAGCTTGCTGCTAATTTATATCTCTGTGAAGGTAGCACGTCAGGTGAAGTTATGGATGCACATAACAGCATACTTTGAGCTAGATGCAACTTGAAATCAGTCATTACTTTAGTAAATAAAACTATTACCCTTGTGTTCAAACACACCTAGTCAAGAACAGTGCTTTTAACCCTTTTTCATGTTTAAATTCTTAAGAATGTTATTATTAAGAAATGAATCCCTTTGTAACAAATTTAAACCTGAGGATAAAGGCTTACTTTTTTTAAAAGATGCATCTACATTAGTGTTTTCAAATTGAATCACCTGGTCACTCCACTTGCCACACTTCGTTTCACACTCCGAAGTCTGCAAAGTTGATTCTTTCAGGTGAAACTAAACCATTAGATATGCTCCAGGAGCAGGACTTAGGCACTCCACTCACTAATGAGCAACCAATTCACAGGACCAGACTAGAGCTAGCCAGAAGTAAACACCAGAAAAATGTGTAGAGTGTAAGTGCTGGGCCTTCAAAATCAACTGTTTCAGCCCCCAGATCAGCTCCTATCGTGCAACACAAATTGCCAGTGTAAAATAAATGTAGTTATCTCTCCTGGAAGTCTTTGTAGTAGTCCACAGACAGCCCAATTTGGTATCTGCAAGGTGACAGGTGGAAAACTACTGTCCCAGAAGAACCAGCACTGTCTGTGTCTCCCTGTGTAACTACAGCTTACACATGTATTTACCAAAAGTAAAAGAGTATGACATGATGACGTACTTATTTTTTTACTTAAGTAAGTCTGGAATATTTCAGTTTCTCTGCACAGGACGTACCTTTGCAACGACTGTCATCCGTTAGTTCATAACCAGTTCCACAGCTCGTGTCCCGCTGACAGCGAAAGGATCCTAATGTATTGACACAAGTTTGTCCAATCCCACAGCTGTGTGTCCCAGTGATACACTCATTAATATCTAGAATATGAAAAATTATTTAAAAAAAAAAAAGAGTAAATAAGAAACATGAAATCACTGGGAAGAGATGAGATCAAAGGCAAGCTGTTGGGAACACCTCCAACCAGTCATTACTCTGAGCATCAGGATACAAAGAATGGCGTGGATTTGGCCTCACACTCACCCCCCCCCAATGTGGCTACTCATCTCTGTTCTCAGGGCGTGAGCCAGTAAAGACATTTTGACCCTGTTGGTAACGGGACTTATGATTGCTGATTCACTGTACTTAAGAAAGAGGAGGAAGTTGTACTGAGTGAGAGCAAAGGGCCAACATCATCTGACTGAGTCCAGTAGCAGACGATTATAGTGACTATACGAATGAAGGAAACTTTCAGAAATCCTTCCCTTGCTCTGCCTCCCACCCACATATGGCTTAGGGACTGCCTGAGCCACAAGTTGCAACTTTCTATTTTATAGCTATTGATAGGCATTTCTTTTGTGAATTTTTTCATTTTCTCTTCAAATGCATAAGAATATTTGGCATCCATGTGTATCAAATGTAAAAGTTCTTCCTTTTTATATTTCATGCTAGGTTAGTGTTAATCTGACCAATCATCAATACCTATTTTATATCCTGAAGTTTGCATCTGAGCTACTTACCTAGACTCCCTTTTCAGTCAATGAGAGAAAAAGGCACTCCTGATGAGTAACGCTTTCATCCTACAACAGCTACGCAAAATAGGCAAGACAAACTGTGCCCTGGAAGTGCTTGTTTCTCTCAGTTAGCAACAGAAGGAGCCTAGGCTAACTAGCGCAGAAGCAGATGTCTACATTGCACATATCTGAAGTCAAGTGCAATAAGCTCTATCCCAGCCCACTTCATTTGATGTCCTTTTAGTTGTTCTTCTGGGAGAAACTTAACAATTCTTCCCCCTTGACTATTCCCATGCCACTCATGATATCCAAGACTTTCTTCCTTTCTGTCAGTTGTGTCCTTAACAAGCTGAAGAATCCTACTTTATTTCATCTGCCTTATCAATTGCTATCTACTACTATAAAAGAGAACAGGTATTTTATTTTGGTTTTACTCACGACAATAAATTCAAGATCTTCTGCCTCTTCTCCACTCTAAATCCTTCACCTGTTCTACTGATTCTTTCTTAACCCCATCTTCCCACAATTCTCATTCTAACACTGTTTAAATCAACTTTTTATGATCTCACCTCTTTCCCCAGTTGGCATAAGCATATTCTGATCTCTTCTGTCTGGATCTTTTTCTACCTATTCTTGCTCTTTTAAAACAAGGATGTTGATAAGTGAGGCAATGGTTTTATTTCTTTTACCTTCACAGTTGACACCATCTGGTTGAAGCTGATATCCAACAAAGCAGGAGCAGACATAACTGGATCCTGTGTCTCTACACTGCTGAGAGCAGGGACCGCCACCTATTCGGATATTTTAAGAAGCCTTACATAATTAAGAGGCTCTTCACCAGAACTGAAACAAACCATTGATTTCCAGGATGCTTGCCGATTTATTTAGAAAAGCAGATAACTCAACATACACATACACAAAAGAAGAAAAGGGCTAAACACTGAAAGAAGTAATTGTAATCACTGGATTCTTTTAGCTCTCAAAATGAATACAAGAAGGAAGTAAATCAAGGAGTTGCTCGTAGCCCATCATTGTTAGAAGTTGAATGGAAAATGCTGATGAGCTCAGAAACCTCCTCAGGTTTTGGCTGGGAAGTTAAAACTTTGTATGGCGATTACTGTACAATAAGGAAGACAAGACGCATCACCATAAGTTAATGAAACATTTTCACTATTAGCTGCATTAGGCTTTATTTTTAGCCCATCGTTATTAGGACCATACTCCTGAATTAGCTATAGCATGTGCTCTTTTCCTACTCAGCAGGCAGGAAACATGAAAGGGAGAAGAGGGTATTGGGGTATTGTGGGTGACAACAGCTTCAGAGAATCTAAAGGAATCAAGACTTACTACTGGGGTACTAAAGACCTAGTGAGGCATGTGCAGGAGTCACAAAGGATGTGAAAGGGAGCTGGGGTTATTCTGGCAGACAGAAAGAGAGGATACTATAGGAAATTTACACAAAATTTGGCTCACCTTACTTTTTCTGATCTTGTTAAAAAATAAACATTAAAAACATTTTATATTCTCACAATAGAGAAAAGGTTATATACTTTCAACTATTTGTTGTAAGAGTATTGACAGTACAAATAGAACCTGTCTTCTTCTGTTTTTAAGAATGGCTGGATAGGCATGGAACAGAAGGTTTGAGATAAGCACAATCAATGTGGGCAAATGCAACTATAATACTTTAAACTTTTGAGTGAATCAAAATCATTTTTTAAAGTGCAACAATTTCTAATGAGGACAGGGCCATTAATACACCACAGAAAATTAGGTCTGTACACAAAGGCAATGACATTAGAAGGAACCATAGTCTTGTGGCTGAGATGGACAGCTACCGCTTTCTGAACCTCTGCTAATACTGTGAGCTCCTGTCAGCCACAGTAAAACCTATTGTGGAGGTGTTGGAAGAACAGAATTTCCAATATGAGGAAATATTAATTTCCTCATATACCATGAAGGTGCTCCAAAACAAACTGCTGGAAGTTCCACTGCCTAGGAAATTTAAGTTTCCCCTGGCGAAGGTTGGAAAATCACAAGTAATTTCCGCATGCCAAGTTTATCAGAAAATATACTGTAGACACAAACTCTAATTTGTAATTAGTCATACCAATCCATCTCTCGCAGGCAGCTGATTACCTGACAAATGCAACAACTGATTACATAAAGAAATAATGCCAGGAAAATATGTAACACGTTTTTCTATGTCATCTCTTGTAATTAGCAGCTGGAGACAAGGAAGGGAGCTAGTGTTGGTTTTGACTAGCTAATGACCTAGTAGACATTTCCATCCTCTCTAGAGTGTAATAGCTATACAACATGCAGCACAGTAAATCATTTCTCAACTGGAATATGTCTATTCAATTGATTTTATCCTAAATAAATTACTTAGTTCTGAAATGCTTGTACAAAAGAATAAATCACTGCTGTTTTAAGTTTATAGACATGTAAATCACATGTGACAAGCAATAAATCAGAATACTTAGCAGAACAATATTCCCAATAACACATTCTTCCCAGGAGGCAGAACAGCATGACTAATGAGGACAACAGTCGCTTTTCTTCCTTTCTTTCAGGTGATGCATCTCAAAAGGAAACAAGTTTCATTTCATATTCAATCACCCTGATCATCCCAAGAGGAGAATAAAAGAATGCAAATATTTAATATAGGATCCCCACATTCTGAAGAATCCAGAGTACTCCTCGGGTTCTATAGGTAACACCTCTAAGGTATTACCCGGTAGAAGTTAAATAAAAGTTAAATGTATAGTCGAAGCTTCAGTTGGTTAAGACAAACTCCACCTCGGGAGACAATGCCTCCCTTGTATTTTAGAACTACTGAGGCACTACATAATGGCCTACTATTTCTTAGAAAGGGTCTTCATTCTGTTATTTTTACCCATAACTAGCCTAGGCAAAAGGTTTTGGCTAATCTCGATATCTAAGTTTGCTTCACTTTTATTGGGGGCAATCACAAAAGAGCTGGCTAACAGGAGTAGTCACCTGACTTACCTCTGCAGCCATCATGCAGATAAGGATCTTCTTGGTCTAGTTCCTCCTTTGAAATTTCAACTAAAAAGAGCAGAGATAGGCATTAGAGGAGAAAGCACTTTTCTTCTCACAGTAAAAAGCTGCCTGCTTGGGACGGGACTCAGACCAGGGTTTTGGATAAACCAAGACAAAATTAAAGAGCATTATTTACATATTTTACAGCTATTTCATACTTAAATTTGACATTCAAATGCACGTGGCCATGGGGCATTTTCCATCTGACTGATTCAATATGAAAGTCACGCTGTGATCATAGATTACATATGGGCTGAGATTTTCAAATGCAGGTTCTTAACATTAGGCTTTTAACCAGAGCTTAACCTCATTTTCATAAGACATGTTGTTGAGGCATGCTTGGCTTCCACTGACTTTATAGTAGCTTGGGGTACTCACAGTTTTAATGAAAATCAGATTAACCTCAGTTATTTATTTAGACTTCATTCCAAAAAGAACTCCACACCCAACTTTTGGGCACCTACTTACGGCATTCTTTCAAATGTACTTCATATACCTTAACTCAGAGAGTTTTGATCAGTGGTACTTCTGCTATGTGCAAGTGTCCTGAGAGTTCTTTCTCTCCACATGGAGGACATAAAAGGGCTGAATACATCCACTGCCTGAACCCATTGCTTGCCCAAAGGACTAGCTAATGGGCTTCCTCCAATCCTGCCACTTTGAACGCAAGGGAAATGGTAGGTTGGTAGTGAGATGTGTAAAAACACAACCTCAAAATACTCTGGTTATTGAATAGGAAGCTTAGTCTCATTTCAGTGATTGTTGTGCTGGTTTTGGCTGGGATAGAGTTAATTTTCTTCCTAGTAGCTAGTATGGGGCTATGTTTTGGATTTGTGTTGGAAACAGTGTTGATAACACAGGGATGTTTTCGTTACTGCTGAGCAGTGCTGACACAGAGTCAAGGCCTTTTCTGCTTCTCACCCCACCCCACCAGTGAGCAGGCTGGGGGTGCACAAGAAGTTGGGAGGGGACACAGCTGGGACAGCTGACCCCAACTGACCAAAGGCATATTCCATACCATATGATGTCATGCTCAGTATATAAAGCTGGGGGAAGAAGAAGGAAGGGGGGGACGTTTGGCGTGACAGCATTTGTCTTCCCAAGTTACCGTTATGCATGATGGAGCCCTGCTTTCCTGGAGATGGCAGAACACCTGCCTGCCGATGGGAAGCAGTGAATGAATTGCTTGCTTTGCTTGCGTGCACGGCTTTTGCTTTCCCTATTAAACTGTCTTTATCTCAACCCACGAGTTTTCTCACTGTTAGCCTTCTGATTCTCTCCCCCATCCCACCGGGGGGGAGTGAGCGAGTGGCTGTGTGGGGCTTAGTTGCCGGCTGGGGTTAAACCACGACATTGTCCATAAGCCTATTCAACCAGTGGTCACTTACAAGCAAATAGTACATCATGGATGTGAAACCAAGTTTTTGTGCAGTAGCACAAGTCTGGGTTGGTACATTGGGTCCTCAAGCCACAGGGGTACATTTTGGTCACACAGAAGCTAATGAAATCAGTTTGTCCAAGCCTGGTCTGATTTTGTAGAGGTCTCTGGGACACTGTACCAGAGATTACTCTTTACTAAGAGTGACTAAGAAAGCGTCATACAGGGAATCAGCTTGCCTTACCCTCTGCAGCAGAATGCCTTGCACGCCTTACTACTGCATAACACAAACACAAGGCAATAGTCCAAGAAGCTGCCTTACAAAATGGAGACTGATCTCCCCTTCATGACTAACAAAGCTGTCTATTCATGTTGCTTGCTCTGCCTTTCTACAGACAATTTTTATTGTCGACAGGGATATCTGACGTATGTTCAACCTCCTGCTTGTTTCTTAATGATGAGAACACTGTCCTGCCCTGCTTGTTGACATAGACCCATCTTTGTAATGCATAATGGTTATTATGTGTGCCATAATAACCATACTAACCATATGCATAATGGTTATTATGCACGCCACTTGCCCACAAGGGTAAGTGGGGAAATACTTAACGTTGAGTTATTGCGAGTACGCTGTGCTCACAATTCTGGATTTTCAGGTGTTGATATACTTCTCATGTCATGCAGGTACACTGAGTCTGCAAATTTTTGTTGTTAGCAAAGTGGTCTAAGTACAAGGTATCTACCAGTCCAGTCACTTCACCCACTGCTAATGGACAAGGGGAATTCCCCCGCTGAGACAGCAGTACACAAAGAAACTGGCAGGGCATTTCTAAATGTTACTTGATAAGGGTGTACACTGACATAAGCCAGGTTTGAAAGATCTGAAACAAGTCTGATAACACACTGGCTCAAGCAGACCAATGCAAGCTTTTGTGGTGGGTTTGGGTTTGAATTTAAGTGGTTGACTAGGATGATGTCTCCCAAAATCTGTCACTGGTGATCTGCAAGCCAGACTGCATGTTTTCAGTGCTCAACTGCCCATGAAGGAGGCAACACTACACAGCATGACTTTTCCGCAGTTTCAAGTCTGTCTGCTAGTGAAAAAGGCAAAACAAACCCCAAATGCAGGTCTGTAAGGGTCAGTGTGTCCACACTCATTCTCTTCAGCTCTGTGGACTAGGTATGGAGAAGGGTGTCAGGAGCTGCTGCCATCTAGA